AGACAACTCAATTCACTAAACTCACGTCTTGACTTTCTCATCCCACGACTTGGCAACCTCCCTGGCAAACGCTGATGCCATCTTGCTCGCGACTTCAACCGAAATCCTCAGGCGAATGAGCTGCTTCTTTTTATGGGAGTACGCCCTCGAGTGCACCCGATTGCGCACTTTCGACCATGTGTTCCCAGGCCCCAGCTTCCCCAAGTCAAGGAGGTCGCTGAAGAAGTCGGACTCCGCATCCTCGGGAGCCGCCCCGCCAACCACATATCGAAATTGCGCCGCACGTCGCGGTGCAGTTTAGATATGCCTGAACTTCGTTCCTCCGTCTCCTCCTCGTCCTCCTCCTCCTCCTCCTCTTCCTCATTCGTTTTTTTTTTCAAACCGATTTGAAACAAAACTCTACCTCCTCATCCTCCTTGCCATCCTCCTCCTCCTCCTGCTCCCTCCTTCCTCCTCCTCCTCCTCTTTCTTCTAGCCGAGTTGGTTTTTTACTTCGCATTGTGGGTGCCTCCTCCTCCTCCTCCTCCTGCTCCTCCTCCTCCTCAAGCTCCCACTTCCTCACCTCCTCCAGGGTTTTCCCCGACCAGCCACCCTTCCCCTCTCCCCCCTCCCCTTCGTGTCCCCCTCCCCCTCGCCGTCCCCGCTCGCCTTCCCCACCGATGGTTTTCACGAACACAAAAACTGAAACATAACATGAAAAATGAAACATGCATGTTTCATTTTTCACTTGTGGTTTTCGTGTAACGGAAACGTGGCCGTGACATTAACCATGCATGTTTCCCACACGTTTTTGGATTCATATTTGTCATGTGTTATGTCCCTGGGCAGTCCTCCTTGGTCAGCTTGTCGCGGTTCGCCTCGATGACTGATGTCTCAGTCGGAGGGCGCTTGGACGTGATCCGCCTCCGCTTCACCTCGGAGCCCGTCGTGCCCTGGTCGACCTTCTGGCCGTCGCCCGTCTTGTCTGCCTTGGTCTTCTTGCCCTTGCCGCTCATGGCAATGTAGTCGCGTGGAGTGGGTGCAGGCGGTGGTGCAGATGCCAAGGCCTTTAACGTTTCAGCTGTCAGCGGCATGCCACCAACCTGTTTGGATTTTCCACTTGATTTCCAGAACAGCTTAGCTTCGAGCTCGTCGATGTCAAAAGGCTTCTCGATAGTGGTCTCCTCATCGGTGCTGGGGACATCGACCAGCGGGACCTTAGGCTTGGGTGGGGCGGGTACCTCCACAACTTCATCATCATCATGATGATCATCAGCACTGTATTTGCTCTTGTCGATGTCCCTGCAGGCAGCCATCTTGTCGATGATGATCTGGAGCTGGCCGTGACCTTTCGGTGCTCGCTTGGTGGTGCGGGCAATACTCTGCAACGACATCATCATAACACGCAAGCCGTATATGGATTTATCTGAGTCAGTGTAGCTCCAGGTCATGGTGTTTCTGGTCAACCACGCGTCAAACTGTTTTTGAAACAACCTTTGATTAGGCACCAACCCTCCTGATTTATCAACTATGCCATTGATCAAGTTGAACTGCTTTGATACCAATGCCCATGAACTCGTCAAGCCTTGCTTGGTCACCTTAGGAACGTTCCATAGCACACCAGGTTTGCAACTAGAGACCTGCACGTGATCCGAAAAGAGATCGTATGAGACATCGTTTGGTAAGTCAATCCCCTTGGTACGTTTGGCCGACATGCTCACACGAACCTTCGAAAACCAAAAAAAAGCTGCGGTGATGATGAGGGTGGTGATGGTGACGGTGGGAGACCTCAGGGATTCTGTGGATCTTTCCAAGCCCCACGGCCTTCCCAAACCCCAGGATCCAGGATCCGAAACCCCAGGGCCCAGAACCCCGACCCCAGGACCCTCGAGCTGGGATGTTAGCCAACGCTCAGGCGAAGAGCTACTTACTCCGAATATGGGATGTGACCAGCGCTACGGCGAGGAGACACCCAACGCATTTAAACGAACATTGCGCGTGAAACGCTCGAACTCATATAGTTATATATATGTATATGTGTGTATGTATGTATGTATATATGTATGTATGTATGTATGTATGTATGTATGTATGTATGTATATGTATGTATATGTATAAAGTGCACGCCCCGCTGTTATGTGGCAACACTCGCAAATACACAACAGAGAGGATAAATAATTCGAGGCGGGGCCATCTTTAAAACATGAAAATAAAGAAAAACATGTATAGATAAATGTGCTCACGCTATATATAAAAGAAAAACATTGTTTTCAAGATGGATTTCAAAGAAATCTTTATATTGTGTCTTTAAATCGTACGTCCAGCTGGCCTTCTCTTTTATATTAACAAGAATCTTGTATATATAGAAGAGTTTGAGCGTGTGGGGAC